TGACTTGTAGATTTGAGTTCACTGAGTATAACTAAAAAGAATAGAGGAAAACTCCCTGAGCCAAGACACACAGGGGTGGGCCTAGGCCCTACCCCAATGGAAATGAAAGACTCTGATGACACCCTATGGAAGGCCTTACCATCCAGGGGGAGCAGAAAAGATATGTGACAGATAAGGTTTTAGTTGGGGGTCGGGTAGGGAGGGACAGGTGGGAGAAGGGAAATGGGATTGTCATGTAAAACAATTCTGTTTCTAATTCAAATAAAAAAAGTTGGAAAAAAAAGAATCATTTGTGTACACACACACACACACACACACACACACATACACACAGGCCAGGGAGCTGGCTCCTACAGTAAGGGTGCTGTTGCCAAGCCTGACAACCTGAGTTCAATCTCTGGGACCCATGTGATGAGTATCCTATAACTTACACCCCACCCTGACACACACCCATACCGACACTCACACAAAATAAATTAATAAATCAATGATAAAATATTTAATTTTTTCTTTATGTTTTAAATTATGTATAGGTGTGTCTGTGTGTCTGTGTGTCTGTGTGTGTGTGTGTGTGTGTGTGTGTGTGTGTGTGCACATGTCCATGTGGGTACATGCACATGAATGCAGGTGCCCTCAGAGGAGTCAGATCCTGAGACACTGGAGTCATATACAGTTGTGAGCCACCTGATGTGGGTTCTGGAAACCAGACTTGGGCTGCCTGGAAAGGCAGCAACTGCAATCAAGTACTCTTAGCCACTGAACCTTCACTGCAGCCCTAACAAATAATGTTTTAGACAATATGCAATGCTGAATGTCATCAGCAAGATCTATAAAGCTATGTGGAAGAGGATATTTTACAGCAGCAACTCTTGTTGGTTGATGGCTGAGCTTTTTCTTATTGTTGATATTTACTTCTCACTCCTATTTGTGTGTCTTACTTGCATACTCTTTCTCTGGATTACAATATGTGGCATTGTATATGACAGAAGGAGAACACATCAGTCACATGACATGCCTGGGAGCCCACGGTTCATTTGGCAGCCCCAGTGCAGGCATTGATGAGCTGGAGGCTGAGTGGGCTACAGGCAGCACTATCATTGAAGACCAGAGATAGCACCCACATGAAATATCCAACCTTTCAGGTGTGTCCATAAGATGTATTGTTTCTACCCCTGCTGATCCTCATGTCCCCTTGTTTGCAGGCTGTGTTTAAACTTGTGCTTTGTGCTGACCAAATGACTGGGCTTCTCTCAGATGAGAGAATGAATAGGGTATTTTTAGGAATGTCATGATGATCTAATGTGTGGCGGGATGTGAATAGGTGACCTTGGGAGCAAGCTGACCTTGCTATGACTCCACACCTGGCCATGATTCATTAGCTGGGTGACTTGGACAGGCTACTGAGCTCTCTATCCTTTCTCATGGATGACAACCATCCCTACCCAGAGCACCCTCTGTACTTGCCCAGTGTGCAGACATGTGGATGAGCAAAGCCAGTACCACTATCATGTGCATGTATTTGCATACAGTGTGTGTGCAGGCATGAGTGTGTATATGTGTGTGTGTGTGTGTGTGTGTGTGTGTGTGTGTGTGTGTGTGTGTGTATGCATCTGTGCAGGTCTGCGCATGTCTATGTACATGTATGCATATTTGCCCGTGTGCATGTGTTTCTATGTGTGCCTGCACCTGCTTTTGTGTTTGTATATGTTGTATATGTGTGTGCCATGTATGGCTGTAGTAGAAACTCCCTTTCCCTCAGTAGAAATTCCTTTTCCCCTCTTCTCTCCATCCCTGGTTTCCATGTCCTGAGCTCCTACTCCTTTAGGATCCAATGTCTGGGTCACTTCCTTGGAGAAGCCAACCCTGACTGTTCTTCCCATGGGCTGCTGCCTGTCTGTGCCCACCACTGAATGTATTATCTGTCTCTGTGTCTGTCTTTTCTATCAGTGAGAAAGAAGCCTCTTAGAGCAGAAAAGCCCACTGGGAGAGTCTTCCTCACATTGACATAGCTCAGTACTGACCGCACAGGAATGGCTTAGTGTTGAGTCAGTGACAAAGTGAATAAAGGGATGATGTGAAGGACTGGAGCCCTGGCCAAAGCAGGCCCAGCCCGAACAGAGTGAGAGGTGGTAGAGAGGCAGCCTGCTCAGAGCGTACACTCTTCCTGTGATGTCCAGGTCCCAGCTGTCAGCAAGCGTATGCCCTGTTTCTGTGTGCACCAAGGGCTACGCAGAGCTAAACTGGAATCTAAGGTCAGCCCTGGCCCTTGAATGGTGATAAGCTCTCTTCTAAACAGGAATGGGGAGGTCCCAACAAGGGGCAGCACAAATGATAAGAGAAGAGAAAGTGACAAAAGAGAAAGGGTCAAACCTGGAAGGACACTGAGTCCTCCAGTGTCCTCCACTGGGAGGAGTGGCTGGCACCTACGTGGGGCCCCAGGATGGGGGTCTGGAGTGTGTGGTGAGTTGGCCATCTCTGCATGAGCAGTATTTAGAACAGGGGGCTCCAGAAAGGGTGTGTGTCCTTGAGTGCACCATCTCTGTTCCCACATGGATCTATGGCTCAGTTTCTCCCAGCTTCTCTGGGTACAGGCTTCTGTCTCCAAGCAGACCAGGCCCAGATAGCTCCAAACAATGCTGCATCCTTCCCCTCAAGCCCCCATCTATACTACCATCTTCCCCGTCATGTCCCAATCTATCTGGGTTATAAAAATATTTTTATTGAGAGCAATTCTTTTCAAAATTGTAGGTGTTGGCCCATTAATGAATTGTGAAATAGATTTAAAGAGTCCTGGCAAGGTTTGAAAGGATGAAACAGAGGACCAACATGGTGGCTCAGCTAAAAAGGGTGCCTGTTGCTAAGCCTGACAACCTGACAGCCTGACAGCCTGACAGCCTGACAGCCTGACCACCTGACAGCCTGACAGCCTGACAGCCTGACAGCCTGACCGCCTGACTGCCTGACAGCTTGACCACCTGACCGCCTGACAGCCTGACAGCCTGACAGCCTGACAGACTGACAGCCTGACATCCTGACCACCTGACAGCCTGACCACCTGACATCCTGACATCCTGACAACCTGACAGTCTGACCGCCTGACAGCCTGACAGCCTGACATCCTGACCACCTGACAGCCTGACATCCTGACCACCTGACAGCCTGACAGCCTGACAGCCTGATATCCTGATCACCTGACAGCCTGACAGCCTGACCGCCTGACAGCCTGACAGCCTGACATCCTGACCACCTGACAGCCTGACATCCTGACCACCTGACAGCCTGACATCCTGACCACCTGACAGCCTGACATCCTGACCACCTGACAGCCTGACATCCTGACCACCTGACAGCCTGACCGCCTGACAGCCTGACCGCCTGACCGCCTGACCGCCTGACCGCCTGACCGCCTGACAGCCTGACAGCCTGACAGCCTGACCGCCTGACCGCCTGACAGCCTGACAGCCTGACAGCCTGACAGCCTGACCGCCTGACAGCCTGACAGCCTGACAGCCTGATGACCTGACGACCTGATGACCTGACGACCTGACAACCTGAGTTGGATCCCTGGGACCCAAATGGCTAAAAGGAGCACTGACTCCTGGAAATTTTCTTCTGACCTCCACACATGTGCCATGCACACAGCCCCACACAATAAATATATCAATTTTAAAATGAGCAGAGTCTGATAGACAGCATTGGCAAGTGTCCACATGGAAATGAGTTGGGAAACTTTCTTCCAGATCTCCGTGATTGGGGTTGTGATTTCTGTTTCTTTCTGAGTGTTTGGCACTCACTGCTGTCAAACTCCTCATAAGCCCTCATACACTCCACTGAGGAGTAGGTATAGGGAGACAAACAAGGGTATGTGTCGATTGGGGGCCTCTCTCTCCTTGGCTCTGGTGAGGTCCACCATTGTCACTCCTACCTTTTCTGATTCTATTTATTTCAGTAAGAATCTTCACATGAAATCTCCCCTCTCGGTAATGTTTAAATTCAGGACACATTGTGCTGACCGTGTACAACCTTGGATGATGTATCTCCTTCTCATATTCCTCTTGATGGACAGGAATGTCACATCTGACAAGGGTCATCCCACTTTTTGCTTCTATGAGGCTAGATTAGGTACTTCCTATTAGTAAAGTCATATAGGAGCCACATCTGTGGGTTCATAGACAATATTATCACTTAGACAATATTGAGTGGAGGTTTGCATCAGAACTGAATGTATAGACTTTTTCTTTGTCATTGTTCTCTAGATAATGCAGAGTGCCAATTGCATGGTGCTTGCATTGCATTGGATATTGCCAGTCATCAAGAGATGACTTGCTATACACAGAGGATTGTGGGGCTCTCTGTAAACATGGTATTCATATGGGATGTCCTTCTGTATGCTGTGAATATGTGTAGCTTTTATTGGTTGTGAATAAAACTGTTTTAGCCTATGGCAGTGCAGAATATAGCTAGGTGGGAAATCCAAACAGACAAAAAGAAAGAAGGTGGAGTCAGAGAGACACCATGCCAGGAAAGCAAGAAGTGAAATAACAAGCCATGAGCCCTCATGGTAAAATATAAACTATTAGAAATGGGTTAATTTATATGTAGAGCTAGCCAGTAAGAATCCTGAGCCATAGGCCAAGCAATTATGTTTAATATTAGCCTCTGAGTGATTATTTCATAAGTGGTTGCTGGTGGAAGAGAAACTGGTCCAGTGGAACCAGAGAAAAACTTCCAACTCCAAGGGGTCATTTGATGTGAGAGACATGAGTATCCATAGCTACTGACAGCTATGGAAACAAGACCCTGTAGATGCTCGGCGTCAATGGTCTTTCTGAGCCTGGGCTACATAGATGGATACAGAGAACATAGTCCAAGCATCTAATCAAATTCAGGGCAGCCTGTCATAAAGGACAGAGGGAGCAGTGGGCAGAGGGAGCTGTGCTAAGTGAAAGAAGCCATCGACGTCACCCCTGCCTAACTCTTTTCTCTCTCTTCCTGGGCAGGTCGTGTATGTCACTGCAACCTTCCCCTACATCATGCTGTTGATCCTCCTAATCCGAGGTGTCACGTTGCCAGGCGCCTCTGAAGGCATCAAGTTCTACCTGTACCCCGACCTCTCCCGGCTCTCTGATCCACAGGTAAGGGTTGACGCTCAAATCACAGTGTCACACATCAGCCACTGAGGCTCAATGGCCATGCAATTAGGTGGAAGCCTGTGGCCTCCTCAGGAAAGTAATTGTTAGCACATCAATTAAAGGCATAGGAAAGAATACAACTGGAGAACATTTAAAGGGAACTGTGGGGCCTGGTGACATGGACATTTCTTGGTTAGTGCCTTCAGCGTACCATCCCACACAGGACTGAGAACTGCAAGACAAGTCGCCCTTACCTGCAATGCTTAGATTTAGACGTTTCAGATTAGAGATTTTTCTAATTTTGGAATATTCACATGTATTGGATGAGCATCTTGGAGATGGTGCCCAGTTGTAAGCATGAAGTTTATTTGTTTCATGTATGCCTTGTGTATGTAATCTTAGTTGGTTTTGTATGTGTAATAAAGTCTCTTGCCATGATATGTTGATATTCTGGAAGTTTCAGATTTTGGTTTTTGGGATCAGGAATGCTCATCCAGTACTATGATTTCAAAGCAGCATTCATCATGGATATTTTTTAATTAATTAATTTTTAATCATATATATACACATATACATATATACATATGTGTGGGTATTTGAAGAGGCCAGAGGTGTCAGATCTCCTGGAAGCTAGGTTGTGGGCTGCCTGATGTGGATGCTGGGAATTGAATTCTAGTCTCTGGAAGAGCAGTACGTTCTCTTCACCACTCCACCATCTATCTCTCCAGCCATCACCATAGATACTTTAGTTAGCCAAACCACCATTGTATCTAGGCTTTCCTCCATGAGGGGTCTTTGGTTTGCTGACAGCACTCATGGTCACAAATGAAGGACATGCTAAACTCCAGTTAGGAACTGGTTAAAATTACTGTTTTTCCCTGCCTGATGTCACAGACCTGCCACAGGGCATCTTGGTGAGAAGGTGGGTCCTTACTTGACTAACTTTCTTTGTAGAAAAGTTCACATCAATCCCACCCTACCCCCACTACCACCCGCATCCCACACAAAGAATTAGAGAAATTGGCTCATCTACCCCTTGTCTTTGGTCAGGCCTAAATTATTCCAGTCGTGAGTAACAAGTGCCTGGGAGTGTGTTAAACAGAGACCCCTCATCAGCCAAGCTTTCCATCTCTACTTCATGCCAGAAGCCTTCGGGAAGCTTCCTAGACTCTAGCCCAGACCTGTCTGGTGTATGCCCAGGTCCGCAGTAATTACAGCGTAAGAAGCTAGTTTCCCAGTGTTGTCTGTGTCCACCAGGAAGTGCCCACTTTATATAGAAACAAATACATGAGTCGTACAGAATTGGTGTCTAACTTCCAGTCAGAATTTGAAACTTCTGAGAGATTTCAAGCTTTTGGCTCCCTCTGTATGGGCAGTATGGATGGTAGGATTTGCAAAGCACTGATTGTTTAGTGCAACTCAGAGGTGTCTGTGACAGTGAGTGATGAAGCCAGTGGAAAGGGATACATGCCCATCTTTGCCAGTTTGCTATCCCTTGGGGTACTACCGGCCTCCTCTATCACATCGCAAATCACAGGCAGGATCTCCAGGAGGAAGGGATGGACTGGTCAATTTTAACTCTGACAATGGCAGGGGTTCTACTGAAGCAGCAGTTTGGGGCCACACATATCCCATCACACGTCCACCTTCTCTTGTCAGGTCTATACTTCCAGTCTCAATAGAAGACAGGCTTCTGCCTGTCTCCTCTGACTACTCCCTTCTTCCTCTCTGGGCCGTAAGGTCCAGTGAAGAGACCATGAGCATCCTCTACAGTATCAAGACCTTGACAATCATCAGGGTGCCTGGAGCTTGTTAGAGATGCAGGCTGAAGTGGTAGCTTTCAGTAGGCCTGGGATGGCTACAGGACAGCCAGGTAGGTAAGGAGCCTCAGAGGTGATTCTAACATCCAGAGAGGGTTGAGGAAATCCAGTTGCTACTTCCTCAGAGCCCTACAGACACAATATGATCATACATACATATGCATACACAGACATACATACACAAACACAGACACAGAGGAAAGCACACATGCACACAGATAAATACACGCATGAGCCACATATGCCCACACAGATAAACAAGTGTACACACGTGCACACAGAGGAAACAAATGCACCTATACACAGTTGCACACACAGAGAGAAACACAGGTACACTGATGCACACACAGACACATATGCACTTGTATACAGATGGACATGTACGCACAATGCACACAGATGAACATACAAGGGCACACACTCTAAGAGCACAGGTAAAACAGAACACACACAGCCTGAAACACAAATGAACCAGAGGTCTGACAATCCATTCAGCTCTTCCCTGACCATCTCAGGTTCCCACTGTCTTCCCAGGTCTCCTTTCCTGAGAGCCGGGGAAGAGATTCCAGGAGAACAGAGAGAGCCCAGAGCTCCAGGCCATTGCCAGGTCAGGTCAAGTCTCCAGCCTATGAGCCCTTGGCCCCAAGATGTCCATCCAGAGCCTCAGGGTATTGGAACTGGGCTATCAAGTAAAGGGGTCAGCAGATGGGGGTGTCTTTCCTGGTTAGGAATCATGGCAGTTGAATGGCTGCTGAGAGTTCGCCTGTAGAAGCTGCAGGCTTGTGCCCAGCAGTGTGCATCGTACTAGATCCTGGTCCCTCAGACTGGGGAGAGGACAGTCAGGCTACTGTGAGATCAGAGGTTCGTGTCCCTCCATAGGGTCTACCATCTGCAGCAGAGAGAGATCCACCAGACAGTCTGATCTGGAGGGATCTCAGCCAGGCTACTCATCTTCTCTCCTTCATTTCCAGGGCCAAAGCCTGCATCCGATCCTCATTGTCCCTCACCTGGCTTCTCAGGCCTCCGCCCCTCTCACACCTGGAGCTCCATAGCAGATCCTTCTGTGCACAGCGTGCACATGGGCTGGGGGCGGCACTACTCTGCACTCCCTCTTTGGAACCTTGGGACCATTTCAGTTTCATCATCAGGAAAATGGGGCTAATCTCTTTTTTTGTGGGCAGAAGAAGATAGCTGTGGAAATTGTTTTAAAAATCTAAGGGTGTGCCTGCGGCTATTAGCATCACCAGGGATCCCTGAATTTACCACTGCACCATGTCCTTCCCAACACCCATGTCTCTTGTCAGTCCTCAGGTCCCTTTTCCCACCACTGCTGACATCTCAAAGGCTGCTCTTCTGCACTCTAGTGTAGACTCAGGTAGGGAATGTGCCTGCTACATTCACTGTTGGATCGCCAGCCCTGGTACAACCTACAGCGAGGGAAAATGATCAATGACTGTTTCTTGGGAGGAAGATAGCTGCCCCTAGGAGTGCTCACTGCCTGTGTCATGGTGGTTCAATCTTCCAGCATTTATGAGCATGTTCTTCAAAGAAGTAGTGACTTTGGAATACTTAATCAATCCGCTGCTGCTGTACAGCTGCAAGGCTTCCACCCTGTGCCTTTCCCTCTTGGGCTCACAGTTCTCACTTGTGTACTAGGGTAGGAATGTTTGTCTGCCATGCACGGTTGCCTCATAGCACAGGTACACATACCTGCTCAAGCCCTTGCGTTTCTCACTTCTGCCCAGCCCCAGGCTTGGCACACAGTAGGACCCTGGGTCATGTTGGCCTATGTCTGGCTCTGAGTAGGACAAGTCAGAACCCCGCAGGAGGAGGGCGGCTTTGACCTAGGAACCCAGGCTTGTATTGTGGATCCAGTAAATGAACTTTCTTGTGAAGGACTTTTGGGGATGCAGTAGCTCATCCACTGTGTGCCTGGGGTTTGCATTCTGTCTTTAGAACTTTCTAAACATCTGCTTGTCTTCACTGTCAGCCCTGTGTTTTCTCTGAAGGGTGAAGTGCTCCAACTCCATTTTTACAGCCTCAGATTTTCACTTTCTGTCTTTTCGGTCTTTGGAGAGCCAAGGGGATCTTGCAAGAAATCCCATTGTCCCTGCCCCAGATTTCTGCTGCTCTCGCTTGTCATTGTGTTTCGAGTGTGTGTTTTCAGGGCGAGAACAGAAAGACTTGTCACAGATCCAACTCGCGGGTCTGCTTTCCCAGGCAGGGAACTGACACACCACTTCCCTGTGCTGCCTCCTCTATGGAGGGAACAGAATCTGAGGAGGAGGTGTTCAACATGCTGCACATCAGGACAAGACATCTCCCCTGCCTCTCCATCTATCAGGAGGACAAATCAGACCACTGGAGGAAGATAAGACTCTGGTTCGAAACCTTCTGATTCCTGAAGAAGACTCCATGAGATTACTGCCACCTGGTGGTAGTATATTCTGATTCCATGCCAGTATCCAAAATAAAAAATGGCCTCTGGCCTGAAACACTTTCAACCCAAAATATCCATGTCACCACTGACTTAGAGATATCATTTTTTTTTAATGAAACATGACTGGCTTGGAGGCCACTCCTTGAGAGTGGAAGTCCTTCAGTGTGTTTTGAATACATTTGGTTCTGTACTAACAGGTTTGTTGTTTTTGTTCAGGCCTAGCCATCCCACTACCCAGAGCTCTTGTCTTCAAGGAGGCTCCTGTCTCTTGGGAGAGGCACGATTAGGTCAGTAATAACAATGGTGGGGACAGTACTGAATACAGGAACTGGCCTATGTCTTATCTAACCTCATGTCCAAAGACAGTGAATCTCCCTCTTTTCTTGGCCCATGGAGTCAGAATTTCTAGGCTCCTCCTTGGGATTCTGTGTACCATGGATATACCATTAAAGCATTGAAGCCCCAGGGCTTCTCAGACTGAAGTTCTCTTAGCTGTTTCAGCCGTGTTGGGGTAGGAGAGCTGCAGGCATGGCTATCAAAGTAATTACATAGCACCACCTAAAAAGTAACTACTGATGGCTATCTACTGATGGCTGACACTATACCAGTCATCACAGCAGTCTTGTCTCTTAACGTCACTCAGCACCAAATGATTACTGGAAACCATCATGCTCTATGTATGGGGACTAGGTGCTTTTCATAAAGCAAAGTTCTCACAAGATGTAAGCTTAAAATCCAATTTC